CAATTTTCCAGGCATCAAGGCTTAAAGCCCGTGTCCTATGATAATAAAAATATATAATATTATCTGTCTTAAAATTTAAATTCTATTAATCACACTTAGCAGACAGATAAATCTCACAACACGCAGAGAGTTCCACACGACGTCACTCAAATCGACGCAATATCCTACCTTGTATTCAATGTATCATGATTCTACAGATAACAGGTAATAGATCGGAAGGTGCCATATAAGGCCTAGTTCTCATAAGCGAATTTTCCGAAAATAATACCGAATTTTCGGACAATTTGACAGGTGTCGGAAAAAGTTGAAATTAAATAATTCTCATCTGCGATTATTTCTTGCTGAGAAAAAGCAATAATTTTGACTCATCGTGTTGGTGACAATGACAGCGATTTTAACCTAAACTTTTACAGTTTTTAGTAATATGAGGTTCAACTTTTGACAATAAATTATCAAATAATTTTTTCGACATTCTCATGTAATTGAAATGTTTTTCTCGATCTTGAAGATGCATTTCTTGAATCAAATTATCAAACGCTCCTTGTTCCGGTCTTCGTTGGAAAATCTCTCTAACAAATCCATATCCATCGTTTTTTCATTATTTTCTTTTTCTGTTGAATTTACCGGATTTATTTTCACACAACTGTTTTAAGTGCGTATAAACGGCCACACACACTCATACTCTCAATCGAAATGATAAACAGTAATTATAATATTCTGCATCCATTCTTGAAAACTGAACATCAAGTAAAAGGACAAAAGGTTATTCAATTAAATTGAATTAACATAACCCATAAAATCCCTCCGAATTTCCGAATAATCGGAAAAAGTAGGAATAATTTCAACTTTTTCTGACATCTGTCAAGTCGTCCGATTAGTCGGAATTTTTTTCCGAAAATTCTGCGAGAACTAGGCTTTATAAGACAGCTTCCAATCTATAAAGCCCGTGTCTCATGCATCCGTTTGTACGATGATACGAAAGTGTTGACAGATGATGACGATCACAGATGACAGATCTCCAACCAATAGAAACACTTTCGTATCATCGTACGAACGGATGCATGGGACACGGGATTAACCTGTGATCTGTGGATCTATGGTCAGCTGGTAATTAGGGAAAAGCAATCATCCTGGAACTTTATAGCTTTTAAAAATAAAACAAAGTTCGGTGCTTCTGTCGTTCGAGTCTCTCCGTATTTGTAGTTTTGTCTATTCTTATATTAAAGCACACTTCAAATCAAGCACTGTCAGTGAAACTTTTCCTGAGTAGATCGTAAATTAAGGCAAAAAACATTTACAAACTTTTGAAATTTGGCTTTCCAAAACCACTTATGTATGCACGAAAATAAGATTGTCCGGTGCTATTTGCTGCTAAATCGTGTTTTAGGTATGAGCAATTCATAACTTCAAATGCAAAATTGTCGCTAAGATGCATAATAATTCTGTTTTTCGCAAAAGTTTGAGCAGCTTTCTGAAGTCGCCAATGATTGAGGTCAGCAGTCAGATGCTGAATTATTTATATTTCCTTTGCATATCATGTCATATCACCGTATTTCCATGGTATGATAGGTATCCAATGGAAACACCGCTCGAAATTTAGCCTGAAAATGGCGATTTTCTTCAAAGTTTGTGAGTGTTTTTTGGCTTAGTTTATGGACCATCCAGGAACATTTTTACTAAGTGCTGAATTTAAAGTGTTCTTTAAAATAAGAATTAAAAAAAAACTACAAATTCGGAGGGACTCGAACGACAGAAGCACCCAAAGGAGATCGGCCATTGATTGTTAACTCTTGAGATACTTGTAGTGTGTAGTGTTGGAGGGACTGCTTTAACGTAACTATTTGAAACAACATATTTGTTTGTTGCTAGAGTGGGTCTAAGAACACTGGGTCGTGTATGTGTAAATACTTCCGAATTCAAACACTTGGTTGCAGGTAAGCACACGGTTTGAAACCTTAACTTAACCTCAATTTGCATTAAGAAACACCTAACACATTTTAATTTAAACTATGGCGCGCTTTGAAGCACCATGCGTTTCGTCCCGGGCCTACCTATTGGACTCGTCAGTAATGCCGGCGCCACACGATGCTACGAACACCTTCCAACGTTGGAGGCTGGACGGTTCGTCGCATCGTGTGGCCGACTTTCGAACTTTGAGCTACGAA